CTTTGTTTGCATTTCCAACCTATACTTGGACATCAGCAGCTCCTATCTCTGATCTGCTCATTAGAACTCGAAAAACAAGGCTTTCCAAAGAGCAGTATTCCCTTACTGCCTTGCCTCAACAGCAGGGGATTTCCTTTCCCTCTGCTTCTTCTCAGCCTTGTTCTGTCATCTGTTTGGTTACAGTTTAAGTAGCACAACTCGGGTTAACAAGGAAACAGCTCCTTCTGCACCCAAGGCAAAAGGAAGCTACTAAATTCAACTGCTTCTACGCTGGGAGCCCTCAGCCACTCCCCTCTCCTTCTTGGGGTGGACAGAGCATGTCCGTGGCAAGGAGGGATATGTCTGCCAAGGGAGTTGTTAGGAGACATATGGCTTGCTGCAGAGATTCACTAGCTTTCATCCTTGCTTACCGTGGCTGGACAGGCACCTTGACCTCAAAGGGGAAGAAAATTGCCCAACATTTCACTCTCACATCAAAATAAGATAATGCAGACAAGTAAGTTTCACTTTCAATCAAGGATTAGAAGACCTTTCCTTCCTTCTTGTGCCCAGCCTCCCTAATTGCCTCTAAGTACCACTGAATCCAAGTGATCCGAGTGATCAAAGCTCAAAAGCAAATCTGGGACTCTACTGATTTTCCTTCTTTCATCCGTGAAAATAATGTGGCTTTTTCCATTTGTTTTCAAAAACAAGCAATGCCATCCTACCTTTAGTTTCAAAACATTCTCTAATAAAATAAAACAGGGTATCAATAATAGTATTTGATCCAAATTGTCAAAAGTTATAAGAAACTCTAATTTTTCAATGCAAAAGTTTTGTCCTTTTAAGTAATGAGTACCGACCATTTCCTTGCAAAATACTTTTACTAAGATGTCCCATAACAAACTCAGAATCTCAGGTTTAGAAACTGCCACTCTGTAGCTCTTATTTCCAATAAACAGTATATATGTCCATTTCCAAACAGCATTAAAGTGAGAAATTCACACCTTTTTTCTTCTTACAGGAAATGGAAAGAAAATGTAACTAATGAACTTTATTAAGCCAACTTATTGCATAACAACCTATTTTAGCTACTGTAATGAAGCAATGAGAAATAAATTTTCTTCTTTTATGGAAAGTAATTTTTAAGAAGGAAAAACATACACAAAGCTTAAAATAGGCAAGGTAATTGAAAGTGCTTGGGTTTAAAGTACACTATTACATTAGTCTGGAGCTTTTTCACTGTTGAGGCAGAAATAATATTATTCATTACTCATACTTTCAATTATAAATGCACCTGTTCTTGTTTCAAACCTAGTTCACAAATATTGAAAGCATAATCTAGAGTATAGCTATACAAGCTCACTTTTATATGCCAGGAATAGGACATGTTGCTGGTTCATTTATTGATGATAATAATATACTTACATAATTATACATAATAATAAAATACTCATTATCATTCTATGAAGCCTGTAGCAACACGTATTGGTTAGGATTGGCTTTCAGCAAATAAGTGCTTCTAAGTAGTTATCTTCCTTTTAAATAAACAAGTGAAGAAACAAATGGTAGCAGCTAATGATCGTATTAGAATGAACAGATGTCAACACATCTTTCAAAGATCTCTCGATATGTCTGAGATCTCACTTGTAAAATTTGTCATTTCCTTGAGCACAGCTGGTTATATCAGTGACACTTGGCACTACAGCTACCATACCCCCATGGCCACACAAAATAACACCTGAACAGAACCTGGAGAAGAGGGGAACAAAACTTAACGTGAACAGTCATACTCCTCCATTGAACCGTAAAGCTGAACTGACCTTTTTCTTTTGACAGTCATTGTAGTCTCAGATACCATATGCAAAATATGTCAAAAACTCACGTGTTGTTTTCAGGTCTTCTTTAGCATATCCCAGGTAACTACACAGAAACCCTTTTCTCTACTATTCATAAATGAAAGAGTATCAGCCCTTCAGATTTTGTAGTGGGGATTCCAAGCAGCTCATCCTCGTAAGTCCTCAGGTAACGAGCAATGGCTCTCAGACATCCAGCAACAAAAGTGAGTTTTCAGCTCCACTTTTAGTGCACTTGATTGACCAACAATTAACATAGCTGATGGAAGAGTTACCAAAGCACACAAGGAAATTACATCCTACTAAACAGGTACTGTATATACCAAACCATTTTCAATTAAGTTTTTTTCATTCAACAGAAGCAAGCCCCTTCCTCCTCTTCTTCCATAGAAACATACAGCTTCAGATTCACCACCAAAATATTTATATGGAGATTGAGCTTCTCTCGATCTTCAGCTGTCAGATAGGATTTTTAAAGATGGACCACCAAGGTTAAAATTAAAATTTCTGTCATGTTTTTATCTCACAGATTTCCATATAGAAAAATTCTAATTTGGGGTACCCAGAGAATTTAATCACTGCTGTACTTCCTTGCAGAGGCTATTCTGCTTTCAGCTTTTAACTTATTACTGCAACGCATTTTGCAATAAAAGGTGCTATATGAAATTAAATTTCATTCTACTCTTTCAGGGTCGATGCTGAAACTGAATATCTTTGATAACCTCAGATGTTTCATTAGTATTAATTTCCCAGTGGAATCTATCACCAACCTAGCAACCCAAAGTTTCCATTTCCTAAGAACTCTTAGATCACTAACTGTTCATCCCTAATTTAATCATGACATCTCATTCAAATGCTTTACTACGTTTGAAATGACCAATAGTGATTAATGGCAAAAGTGTGTCAGTCCCATTATGTCACTTTAAGAAATAAATAAAATTCATCCTGTTTTAAGTTTGTTAGGTCTCGGTCATTAAAAAATGTATGCCACCATGCAGTTTCAATTGCATGAATATTTCTACTGATTCCTCTACAACTCTGAGCCAACCCATGTATGGGGTGTGGGGAGGGAAGGAAAAAAAACAACCAACCAACCAAGAAAAACAAAACAAAAAAAACCAAACCAACACCACACCACACCACCCACAACCAAAAGACCCAAACGTTACAGAGATACAGAGCTCAGCAACACCAATTACACAGCTAGACTGCATAGTTAACCAGCCAAAATTTGCAGATTTAACTGAGCATCTGTAATTTTGCCTCTGCACATTCATTTTATGCACTGAATAGCTCTTTGACAAAAGGACTAAAAAAGGTCATTCTGATCATGCAGTTAAAACCTGTATAATGCACACCCACAGGAATTCTGTTCAGGCTACATCAACACTCTCAACTAGTAAGCATTATCAGGTGGCATTAGCTATCTGATCAGCTTATAACTTGACATTGCCTAACAATGAAAAGAGACTTTTGTTAAACAATTCTGTCACCTCAAGGCACAGAAGCAAATTACATCATTGTGATACGGTCCTTAGCCTGGCTGCACCCAACAAGGCATCCTTATTCCTGAACACCACCTTGAAAGACTGCCCACCATCCAAAATACTACTTGGATCAGTTGCTAGAAACCCTTATTAAATGAGATCCTGAAACAGTTTCGATGGCTACCAAACACCGTGGGAATAAACATACAACCACCAGTGGGGCTTATCTTAGCAGCACCCTGTTGAAGACTAAAACAGTTAAGTGAATCCAGAAGAAGGAGCCACTGCACGAAGCTCCATCAGTGTCCGTGCTTAGCATGTACAGTAACACATGTCTGGGAACCAGAGTCCCTAAAGCACTACTAACGGAGCTCAATTCCAGGAGCTTCACATGAGTATAACAGGCAAAAACATATTCTATGTATCTCACTTTTCAAGCAGTTCTGATGAACACAGCTAAATATAGCCACTGATAAAAGGAACTGCAAAACGTATTCACATAAAGTTATACAAATAAGTCTACACTGATTGTTACATAAAATTAAATATCTAGGCTTTTCCTATGCTAATTCAGTGTAAAAGTCAGGAGCAGAAGGATCCCCAACTTTAAGAGCAAGAATGATATTTCTATTAACATTCCTATACCTGAGGTAAAAACATACATACTGCATGCAACTATTCTGCAGGCTCCTATACCTGAATACCTGAATATCCTGAATACCCACATTATTACACTGTAGCATTTCTAACACACATTTCACACAAACTAATTATATCTGTCTTAAGCAAGGATGTACTAAAACTAGTAATCACTGTACTTTATAAATGCAAGGTCTTACTGACAACAACACAATAGCAGACACTGCACTGAACATCTAACCTTCTCTAAACTCATTTGTTTCTTTTGAATTACATGCTCTTAGACCCATCTGTGAAAACTGGGAGGTTTAATTATGATAGCACCTTGCATAATTCCACAGCTAAATGCTGAAGTAGTTCTACATAAATGCCATATGTATGTCTCAGAAAAACCAAAAAGATTAACGAGGAAGCCAAGCCCAAGACTTTGGTAAGTAATAGTCTGAACACAATTAGATCATTACATTGTGTAAACTAAAATTTTAATGCATACACTAGTCATGGCAAGAAAATAATAATCCAAAATTCTAAATTGCGTGCACCACACTTCTTTTTTACTGACATTGATTCTAAAAGGACACTGTGCACAAGCCAGTCACAACAAAAGCCACTCTTTTACACACTTCAGCTTGTTACACGCTTTTGATGAAGAACTGCCTGTTAAGCATTTCAGTCCTGTTCTTACCCACATTATCCTCACCTATTTTAAAGTTACCCAATCACATCAGTGAAGAAAAAGCTCTAACAAACAACCTACAACTAGAAAGTAGAGTAATGAACCACTGTGAAAACTCAACAGTATAGGGTCCTTCAAGAGCTCTAGTAGTAAAATCCCCATCTCTAAATCTGGTCTAGCTCAGCCTTCCACTTCTAGCCCAGTCCAATACATAAAACACATCATCTCTTATAGCCTCCACTCTCCTGAAAAAAGTAAAGGGTTATTTTGACCCAATCCATAGATCACTGATGGGAAAGAGAGCTTCTACATCAAATTCAGTACACTCTGGACCATAGCCAAAATATTAGTTACTTTACTCACCACATATTCAAACACAAGTGTCAAGGTCTCCTTGGTGTGAATGATGTCATGAAGCAGCACAATATTAGCATGTTTCAATCCTTTCAAAAGAGAAGCTGAAAAGCAAAACATAGGTTATCTTAAAAAGGATCCAAATATTCTACGTTAATTGGCTTTTTCTTTAGTGACCTAGATGATTTTTTTTGACATCTGAGTTTCATAAGCTAATGACCAATAATTGTATTTTAATATCTTCTACATCCATGAGTTGCACACATTTGTTGTATTTAAAGATGACACGTTCCTGTTCAGAGCTATTTTCTCCACCTTGTTGGTCAAACTCAGCCTCACTTTGAGGCAAAAATGAGCCATTGTCCTTATGCAGCCTCCTTTATGTGAACCAGTCACTCACATCTGATCAACCAGACACCAGGTTTGTTTCTACACTCAGAGGTAATTTTTTGTCTCAGTCAAAAGTCAAGCATGCCTTTTCAAAATATCACCTTTCCAGAACAACAGAGATACTTTCTAAAGTGCAGCATCTGTCCTAGGAATAATGTTTTAAGCAATAATTCTCCTTTCTCTCAAACATAACACATTTGATGGAATGATTTTTATTAGCTCATGAGAATAGATATAGTATTTTCCCACCATACTTTTATTCTTAATAGCAGTAGGTCACACTTTCAGACTGCTGATAAATAAAGACTTATCTAGTGAACTTGCAGATGATCTCCTGCATTAAATTTCTTTTACACCATAACACATACTTAATGTTCCACAAGACACAATGTATTTTAGCAGTATATGCTGACAAGCCATGCGTTGTTACCAATGTCATTCTGTCATTTTTGCCTTGTCATCTCATGCATACATCTGAGTAGGACTATCAGCTGCCACAACAAAGTAAATAATAGATACAAAAACATGCAAATGAGTGGCCTATTTCTGTACTGAATTATGTGGCATTTTCTTCTGTCACTCTTCTTTTGTCAAAGAAAATGATGAAACACCAAACTTGTGTCTCACTCCATTACTGTGCAAAATGGAAACTAGGGAGCTTCCATGGAACTACTGCCCCTTGCTGTCCTATTGAGGGTGCTCCCTCACACTGAGGTAACTCCAGAAGTCATTTGGCTTTGAATTAGGGTAAGTATGTATCATCTCTCATACTGGTCTTTAAGAGACTGATCTGACAAGCTGGTCACTCTAGGAAGCAACACAATAGCAATGTGCCATCTTGCCGAGTCAGTGTTCTACTACAAGCATCTTCAGCAGCAGAACTTTGGAGTTCAAGCTAGGCAAAACACAGATATCAAGGGGGAAAACACCAAACAGCAGCTTCAAAGTGAGCGTATCACAGATATCCTGATGACAGGATTGCAAACCTGCAAGCAGGATCCATGACCAGGAAAAAGGCAACCCTTCAGCCTGGCTGAAGAGATGTGAGAAGAAATGTTTTAAAAGAGCTTTCTTTGGCCTCTGCTCTAACTCATGCTATTGAGAAAGTCAGCACAGAGGAACCTTTCCTGTGCTTTGAATACATTGCCAGTACGCTGTAAATCAGCTGTTGCAACTACAATTATTCTTTTTAAACATTTCATCAGTGCATCTGTAGTAAGTTTAAACATTCTATAAGTTAAGCAGAAGCTTTTTTTTTTTAAAGGAAGAGCCATGCACAACTTTCATAGGATCCTAAACATTTAACATGCATGAAACCTGAGAAGAGTTCACCTCCAGTAACTGAGCTTTTACCAGCACTTCCCTCAAGCCTCATCAAATAGCCACACATGCAGAGAGACCAGGAGCAGAAGAATTGCCTCCAAGCAGAGCGCATGTCAAACTATAACAGTACGCATGACCTCTGTCAGCTTTTGCTGTTCAGATCATGACCTGAGGCCATTAGTTGCTCTAGCTGCCCATTACTGTGTTGCCAAAACCTGTATATGGGTCATTAAAGCCTAAACAGTATATTGAAAGTAGCTTACCCCCAGATCTTTGCAACTCTTTCCTTTTCAGTCCCCTCTTCCACTCTTACTTATCTTCTCCAATTCTCTCCTTTTACAGCCTCAATATTCAACATCTACCATATATTACAAGAACTATCACCTGCAGGGTGAGATTTCTGTCTTCTTTGTTAGTCCAAATGAAATACAGTAAGTAATATAGCACAGAGAGTCAAATCACCTTAATTGCACTAATTTTATACTGTGGAAATAAAAAGCAATTACAGTATCAATTTACACATGAGAAATCAAGCATAACTGGTGAAAGCAAGAGAATTACCCATGTACTCTTGTGTCAGGACTCATTGGTAAGAGTGACTGCTTTTGTGAAAACACTGCTTTGTTGATTAAAAAGAGGGGGGGGAAAAAGCATATTTTTAAAAAGAAAATGTTGTCTGAAATAGAAAAGCTGTTTCTTCCTCCACAGAGTACTTTATAAATATAATGAAATATGAGCCAATGTTGTTCAGTGTTTTTTTTTCCACAAACTGCCAATCAAAACACCTCCTCATTTGGGCAACTTTTTGCTTGAAGGAGATACAACTTTGGATGAACTCCCCTAATTCAAAGACAAACTCCAGAAATTCACATCCAAGAGAACGAAAAAGAGTCTAGGGAATCCATCATCAGAATCAGCCCAAGACAAGCCTGACTTCACCTCTGAAGCTGCCAATGCAGCTGCTACTGGAGCTCAGCGAGAAGTCAGATGCTGCTGTGCCTGGTGTTACTTCTAGAACAAAAATCAATCCTTTCAGAGAATGGTGTCTCCACCCACAGTGATTATGATTTTACAGAGAGTTCTTTTTTTTAAGATAAAAAGATTAAAATATTGTTGAAGAAAACATTGCAACAACTCACAAAAGGGGGATCAACATACAAGTATTCGTTGTGCTTTAGCATGCATTTTTAAAATCAAAACCACACAATGCTGCTTTAAATCAGCTGGCACTCTTCTACCCTTAGTATTAAATGTAAGATAAACCAGATGGCACTACAGATTCATTTCCCCAAAGAGTTTTGAGGAGTCACAGCAGCAAGTAATGCTAAAACGCTTTTTTAAAACGCTTTGAACAAAATATTACATGGGCAGGTGCTTGTTCTGTCATCTGTGTTTGTATATTCCCTTACAGCAAATTCCAGCATTAAAATAGGGCAGAGGAATTGGGGACATACTTCAATAATTAACGACATTTAAGATTATAATTTCTGTATCTTCTACATCAGTTCATGACCTGAGCCACTAAAAGTACCAACATTCAGCACTTCTCCATCAAGAGTTAGTAACCATATTTGCATACATAAAGGCAACACTTTGTATTTTCTTGAATAACCATCACAGGCTTCTCTTCCAACAAGGGGATGCTCTCATCTATTATGAGCTCCCGGCAATCTGCCTTATTGCTTGTGTTGGTCAAGGAGCTTTTTGCTGTTCCCAGATGAGCTGGGTTCTAAAGGACACTTGCTCCACAAGCATGCCAATCCAGATGGACTGCAGCCAACTCTTACCCAAAAGAGTAAGCATCAGGAAATCAGTGCTTTGCTCCCTGCAGGGTTTACAGCATCAGCTCAAGCCTGACACTCCATTAATAAAGCCCTATGACTTTTAGATCAGCTTTGACTTACCTCTAGAAGATTTGGAGTGTTTTGAAAATAGCTATTCTGGCATGCCCATAAAGTAACATTTCACAGTTTTATGTCAAAATGAACAAAAGTAACTGTTAGGGACAACTCCCAGGTCACACGCAAGAAGAAGTTTTTACTAGCAACACTAGCAAAAATGGTACTTTTGGACATGGCAAGTACATTAAGACTGAACATTAATTACGGTCCTCAGATCATCCTAACGCAATTAATTCAGTTTTGCAATTCCTGGCTACCATTGTGTTCTCACTTTCTGAAAAATCACAGATATCTACTGTGGCCCTGGATAGAATAATCACTGATGATTCCCAAATTGCCTGGTACTTCAGTGACCCGGAAGCTTTTCTCAGCAGTAGCAGAACTCAACCTCATACTGCTCAGATTCACCATGATGTACAATTGCTGCTGATACTGTCTCAGATTTCCTACCATACACAAAGGCTGCGATATTCTTGTAGTTTTTCTAAAAACCATAGCTATGAAAATGCCTGCTTTGCTCAATAGGAGTTGAGGTGTCCTCTGGGGCTACCATCTACCAGTGCTCACCATTTCCCTCACTGTTCCTCACAGAGTGTTCACCCTTTCTCACTGTCACTCTAGCAGGACATGTCACATATCTCATTGCAAGAGTTCTACTGTGGAAGACAGCACATTGTGGCACTTTGCACCTATCCAATATTCTTAATGCAACCATGCATCTTTGCTGCCCTGTTTAATTTGAGACACCAAAGCTGCACATTCTAGTCAGTAACACAGATTTCTGAAAGCAGGTGATTTGTTGTGCTTCAGAACCAAACAACAAGTCTGTGAAATTCTGCAGCTTCTCACACTGCAGACACAATGGTGCTCTCTGAAAGAGGGCCAACCTCCTCACATGAACAGTTGCGTTCAGTCTATGACCTCTCCTGGAAAGGCATCTTTAGTGAGAAAACATTCATGGATTTTTTCCCTCAATGTCTTCTGAACAAACATACTCAAATGGGTCTTATTGTCTGCACAAACTACGGAAGTTCTGCTTCCCTTCCCAGCAACTTATGTTTCCATCTACACATCTTTTAAAGCAGTTTTTAAAATTTGGCCTGAGACACAATGTCCTTTATGCTTTTCATCCACTTCCCACACAGCAGGACTTTCTTACAATTCTAGCACAGACACAGGAATTCAGCATTCTGCGTTTTGCAGTAATAAATGTGCAGAAACTTCCTTCTCAGAAATGCAGTTCCCAGATCTACACTTTGCTATTTTCCAGTTCACCCATCTGAAATAAATTACCATGAGCAAAGAGCTTTGTCTTCCTACAACTCTAATACAACAGAATTCAATTCTGTATGTGCATAGTGAAAACTACACATCCTAGGTAAGACCACACTAACCACAGACTTCCCATCTTCTCACCACAGGATATATTCTGTAGAGTGATCATTATTTGTAATCCCATGTAATAGATTTGAGAGCTGCACCCCCTATAA